GTCCTCGTTTGAACAGGTGAGAGGTGTTCGTACCTGCGCGCCTCAAACCCCAATCCAGCTGCCCCTGTCTGCAAACAGATCCCTCGCAGCTAAACCCATTAATCTACAATAAACCACCTTCTTAAGGAGGAAAAAAAATCAATGTCGGGTTCCTGATGGCAATTTTTTCCAGAACTGGTTACCCAGGAAAGTCGTAATTTTTTAATATACTCTGAACTTGGTAGCGCCAGTAGGACGCTGAGAGCAAAAGAGCAGCTGAGCTATTTTAAGGTCTCTTCTTCCAGCAGTTTGGTGCACATCTTAAAGAAAATAAGAATTAAAAAAAAAAAAAAGACACCAAACTGCTCTGTTTTCATTGCATTATGCAGATGAAATGACAAGTTGTCATTTAAGAAGTTAATAAACAGTCACCATTTTGCAGGTTATCCAAATGCTACTGAATAGAAAACCTTGGATCCCTAAATGATGTGTAATTAAAATTATTTAAAAAATCCTCCTTGACAGGCCAGGGCTTAGCCAAAATGTAAATGACATTAAAGAAGACAATGAATTTAATTTTATTTAATGTCCCTTTTTGCAGATCCTCATTTACATAGCATTTTTAACAAAAGCGTTGACCTTATAAATGCTGGCATTTGTACAGCTTCTGCAGAGTTGGATTTAATCATGCTTTCGCAAAGCCATAAGGGAAAAAGCTTTAAGTTCTCTGGTTGGATATGGAGTAGGAATAAAAACATTGGGACTGGTCAAATGTTTATCCTCCTTGCTTCTGAAAACAACCTGACAAGAAGATGTAAAGGTCTAGGGAATAACCCATTGCTGTTTGTAAGGCTTGGTAATAATCATACATAATCGTTTGGAAATATAGCTAATAAAAAATATAATGAGTGTTCAGCAAAATCGGCATTAGGCCCAAATTACATGATATTAATACTTGAACAGGTGCAGAAAGGCGCTTTAAATGAGGTAAATGAATAAAATGTCCCAGAGCACAACTGTGTGCACTGACAAAAAGTCAATCACATGAATAATTCAGCGGCCGGGACTGCCAGCAAAGGTCAGCGGCTCTCACCTTTGTGACGGGAAGTGAAAGGAAACGCTGCTGACGAAAAAAAAACCCCCCTCGCCCTCCAGCCGCCGCCGCCACCCCGCCGAAGGTGTAAACTTGGAGTAGGGAGGAATTAAAGCGCTGCACCGGCGAGCCGGCAGCAAAAATAAATAAATAAATAGATAAATAAACAAATAAATAAATAAAATTATTACATTTTAAAAAAAAAACAGCTTGAACAGCCAAGTGGTTTAGGGAAAATAATCCAAAATTACAGCCAGGGAAAGGTTAAGGGGGGTGGCTACCACCAATGTCAATTATCTCCCAAATCTGAGGTCAGGCAAAAGGTATTTTAAGAGCCTACGGGATTGAAATTTTGTAACAGCTGTTAAATATGACAAAACTTTTTATTCCCCCAAACTAGAGCTATTCCAAACTCCGTACGAAAGAAATGGGATAAGCAGATGTCTGGCTTCCATACAGGAAAGTAGGACACACTTGGAATGATAAGTCTCTTGAACTCTATAGAATAATGCCAGGTTTACCGGGGAGGGGGGCATTTACTGCCCACGGAGATGCCAGCGAGCAGTAGGGCTGTGATGGTGCCATCTGGAAAGGCTCTGCCGAGCAGGCTCTGCCCGTGCTCCACTGCC